TGACTTCTACATTGATTTGGCTCCGGGCACTCAGCCCATTTCTATTCCACCATATCGTATGGCCCCGCCTGAGTTAAAAAAATTAAAGGAGCAGTTGCAAGACTTGTTTGATAAGGGCTTTATTAGATCTAGTGTCTTGCCTTGGGGTGCACTGGTGTTGTTTGTTAAGAATAAGGACGGATCGATGAGAATGTATATAGATTTGGTCTAGTGTCTTGTTCACGGATCACAAGAGTCTACAGTATTTGGTCAAGTAGAAGGATCTAAATTTGAGGCAGAGAAAATGGTTGGAGCTATTGAAAGACTATGATATCACCATCTTATACCATCCGAGAAAGGCCAATGTGGTGGCCGATGCTTTGAGTAGGAAGTCAGCCAATATGGGTAGTCTTGCATATATTCCGGTTGGTGAGAGATCTCTTGCTTTGGATGTTCAGGCTTTGGCCAGTCAGTTTGTGAGGTGGGATGTTTCTAAGCCCAGCCGTGTATTAGCTTGCACAGTCGCTCGTTCTTCTTTATTGGAGTGTATCCTAGATCGACAAAATGATGATCCTCATTTGTATGTCCTTAGAGACACGGTGCAGCACGGTGGTGCCAAGCAGGTTACATTAGGAGATGATAGGGTTTTGAGGCTGCAAGGTCAAGTTTGTGTGCCTAATATGGATGGGCTCCGAGAGTTGATTTTAGAGGAGGCCCATAGTTCCTAGTACTCTATTCATCCGAGCGCCGCTATGATGTATCAGGATTTACGGCATCATTATTAGTGGAGGAGGATGAAGAAGGATATTGTTGCATATGTGGCTCGATCTTTCAACTGTCAGTAGGTAAAGTACGAGCATCAAAGACCTGGTGATTTGTTTCAAAGGATTGAGCTTCCCGAGTGGAAGTGGGAGTGTCTCACTATGGACTTCATTGTTGGACTCCCACAGACTAGAGGAAGTTCAATGCAGTGTGGGTTATTGTTGATAGGTTGACCAAGTCACCACATTTCATTCATGTGGCAGTCTCCTATTCTTCCGAGAGGTTAGCTGAGATCTATATCCGGGAGATTGTTCGTCTTCATGGTATGCCCGTGTCTATCATTTTGGACCGTGATACGCACTATACCTCACATTTCTGGAGAGCAGTTCAACGTTAGTTGGGAACACGGGTCGAGTTGAGCACAACATTTCATCTTCAGACGGACAGGCAGTCCGAGCACACTATTCAAATTTTGGAGGATATGCTTCGAGCGTGTGTTATTAACTTTAGAGGCTTATGGGATCAGTTTTTCCTTTAGCGGAGTTTGCCTACAACAACAGCTACCAGTTGAGCATCCAGATGACTCCTTATGAGGCTTTATATGGTTGGCATTGTCGGTCGTCGGTTGGATGTTTTGAGCCGGGAAAGGCTCAGTTGTTGGGTACGGATCTAGTATAGGATGCCTTGGACAAGGTCATGAGTATTTGGGATAGGCTTCGTACAGCTCAGTCCAGACAAAAGAGTTATGCCGACCGTAAGGTTCGTGATATAGCATTCATGATCGGTGAGCGGGTGTTGCTTTGGATGTTTCCTATGAAGGGCATGATGAGATTTGGGAAGAGGGGCAAGCTTAGCCCTAGGTTCATTGGCCTGTTTGAGATTCTTGATCGAGTGGGAGAGGTGGCTTACAGACATGCGGCCGCTGAGCTTATCAGCCGTGCATCCAGTGTTTCATGTGTCCATGCTTCGGAAGTATCACGACGATCCATCCCACGTGTCAGATTTCAGCACTGTCCAGTTGGACAAGGACTTGTCCTATGAGGAGGAGCCGGTAGTTGTTCTAGACCGGCAAGTTCGTCAGTTGAAATTGAAGAGGTTCCCTTCTGTTCGTATTTAGTGTAGAGGTTAGCCTATTGAGGCAGCGACTTGGGAGTCCGAGTCCGATATGCGGAGCCGATATCCCCATCTTTTCTCCGACTCAGGTACTTCCTTCTTATGTCCGTTCGAGGACAAATGGTTGTTTTAGAGGTGGAGAATGTGATGACCCAAAAGGTCATCACTTGTTTTACAAGTCGATTCTATGTACCAAAGCCTTAAAAACCTCTTTTTGTCTCACTTTGATTTGCGTGCACAGTCTGAGCGTGTATCCGGAAAGCCATTATGTGAAAATTTGTGAAAAATAATAAATGTTACTTTTAAAGTGAACTTAAGTTGACTTCGGTCAATATTTTGTGTAAATAGACCCAGACTCGTAATTTGACGGTCCCGGAGGGTCCGTAGGAAAATATGGGACTTGGGCGTATGCTCGGAATTGAATTCCGAGGTCCTAAGCCCGAGAAATGAATTTTTGAAGAAAATTGTTTAACTGAAATTTTTAGAGTTTTTGGAAATTTGAATGTATTTGAAATTGATTGCATCGGGACCGTATCTTGGTTCCGGAGCCCGGTATAGATCTTATATGTTGTTTAGATCGAGCCTGTAAAATTTGGTAAGAAACGGGCTTGTAATGACGTGAATCGGACCCTCGGTTGTGAAATTTGAAACTTAAGTGTTCTTGAGATTTCTCTTTGATTTTGATGCTAAATTCGTTGTTAAAGGTGTTAATTTGGCGATTTGATTGCACGAACAAGTCCATATGATATTTTTGGGTTAATATGCATGTTTGGTTTGGATCCCCGAGGGCTCGGGTGAGTTTGGATGGGTTTCGGGATATTTTTACACTTAGAAAAGTTGCAGGTTTTCAATTTCTAGTATTTTGGAGTTTTGCTCTTCGCGTTCGCGGAAGGACTCTCGCGAACGCGAAGTGTAAGTCAGGCTGAAAGACAATTCCTTCTACGCGAATGCGAGAAACAGGACGCGAACACAAAACCTTGGGGGTGCTATGCTTCGCGAACGCGGGCCTACTATCGCGAACGCGAAGGCCTTTTGGCCGGGACATGGGGAAAGGGATATTTGTTCTACGCGAATGTGGCCACTGGCCCGCGAACGCGATGTCTTGAGGAGCTAAAACTCTGCGAATGCGAGACACTAAACGCGAACGCGAAGGCAACTGTGCCTGACCCTTCGCGAACGCGACAGGCCCTTCGAGGACGCGAAAAAGTCCTGTCTAGTGAATTAAAAACAGTAGCAAATCGGGATTGAGTCCATAACTTCATATTTTCAAAACTAGAGAGCATTGAGACAATTTTCAAAGAACAAGTTCTTCCCCAAAGCATTGGTATATGGTTCTAAACCTTTTTCTTTCGATTTCCCATTTCATTTCATCAATTTTCATCTAAAAATCTAGGGTTTTTATGGTAGAAATTAGGAATTTGGGTAGAGTTAAGACTTTTTGAATAATTGAAATTTAGACCTGATTTTGGGGTCGTATTTCGAAACTAATTACATATTTGGGCTTGTGGGTGAATGAATGATCGGCTTTTGGTCCGAACCTCGAGTTTCGACCAAGTGCGCCTGGGGTCGATTTTTGACTTTTTAGAGAAAAATATAGAAAACCTATAATTTAGCATTAGGTATGAATTCTTTAGCATTTATTGATGTTATTAAATTAATTTAGGCTAGATACAAGTAATTTGGAGGCGAATTCTAAAGGAAAGGCGGTGTTTGAGGCCTGTGTTGGCCGTGGAAGTTTGAGGTAAGTGTTTGGTCTAACCTTAGCTTGAGGGATTAGAAGTTGTGTCTTATTTTCTATGTGTTAATTGTGGAGTACGACGTATAGGCATGCTGACGAGTATCTATACATTAAGGTCAAGCATGTCTGTGAGTCTCGTATTGCAATGGTTGTGACTCCGTTGTGAATTGTTCATGCTTAATATGTTGATTATCATTGTTGGTTCCCTTTCCAGGATGTTATTGTTTATGATATTGGTTCCATTGTCGGGATGTTATTGTTTATGATATTATTTTCCTTGCAGGGATGTTATTGTTTATGATATTGTCTCCCTTGCCGGAATGTTGTTATACTCTTGTTCCCTTGCCGGGATTCTCTTATGATTGATGTTGATTTGTCAATGGGATCGGGTTGCACGCCTACAACAAGATATATGGAAAGGGAGTGGGTGGCGTGCCACCACGGTGATATATGAAATGGGATCGGGTTGCACGCCTGCAACAAGATATATGAAATTGCTGGTCGCACGCCTGTAACAAGATATATGAAATGGGAGCGGGTAGCACACCTGCAACAAGATATATGAAATGGGATCGGGTGGCATGCCGCCACAGTATTATATGATTTGGGATTGGGTTGCACACCTGCAACAAGAAAGAAATGAAAGTGGATATTGTGTTTGTTTTCCTTGTTCTGGTTGGTAATTGAATTACGGTTTTCTCTACATTCCTCTGCTAGTATTCTGTAGTTATCTGATACTCCCCGTAGCATGCCTTCCCCCTCCCATCTTTACTATGAATATTTGCTTTATTTCCGTTGTATATGATTTAATTGCACAGATTTATTTGGTAATCTGGTCCTAGCCTCGTCACTATTTTGCCGAGGCTAGGCTAGACACTTACCATCACACGGGGTCGGTTGTACTGATACTACACTCTACACTCCGTGCAGATACTGATATCGGAGCGTTTAGACTGCACTGAAATTGCTGCCTTCATTCCAACAGGCGACCCGAGGTAGTCCTGCAGGCGTCCGCAGGCCTTGGCGTCTCCTTCTATATTTTCATACTATTCCTTTTAGGTATTTCGAAAATAATTATAATTACCTTTCAGACCTCTGTTTTAGTATTCATAGATAGTCCGTGACTTTGTGACACCAAATTCTGGGTGGAGTTGTATTTTGGATTTATGTATTAGTGTTTGATTAAACTATTAAGTTTTCGTCTTCCGCATTTCTGGTTATTTAATTTATTCCGCTGTTTGATCACTTATTATATTGAACTGTTGAAAAAGCTTAATAAAAATGGTAATGAATTTATAACATTCGGCTTGCCTACCAGCTTTCACGAGTGGGCGTCATCACGAGTCCCGAGGATAGAAAATTCGGATCGTGACAAAAATATTATTACGTTTACATATCATTACTTGCATAATGCCAAAAGAAAAAAAAGGATAGAATTAACATACTTTTAATGTCATACTTGTACATGTGAACAATTTCCTCAATCTTGCAACAGATGGTCCATAAAATTTGTCTAGCTTTCCTCTTTATCAAGTATCTTTGCCACATAATTTCCCCAGCTTAAGTAATGCTAAAACTTCATTTGAGGGCAATGGGGGAATAGTAGATTTTTTTCTTTGAGGAAAAATTCCCTAGCTCTATTTTCCATGTGCAGTATGTGCTTCAACTATATCACTAATTCATATGGAAATACTTTTCAACCCATTTCGCTTCAGGTGCAAAGAAAGCAATGAAGAGTCCCAATATGGTGGTTATGAAAAGCAGGTATGAGTAGAAGGAACTAATATACATCGATAGCTTTTGCTTCAGTCCAAAAGCCTATTTGCCTTGCCTTGTAATAATTCTCCTATGCTGGAATCTGGATTCTCTCCATTTTGCAAATGGAAGTTCTGACGAGGAATTGCTACTGGATGTGCCGTCCGACAACTCCTTCCCCCAGGCAGAACTCTTGGTACCAACATCATGTTTTGCTGCACAAGCAAGTACTAGCAGCAGCTCTGTATATCCAAATGTTGTACGTCCTTAGCAATACTATCACATTTTCCCAAAGTTCATGTGGTCAAGCCACATGTATTAATGAAAGTATGAGTCACACTGCAAAATTTGCCATGTTATGTTTTTATCCAAAATATTTTGGATAATTACCAATTATCCGCGTAATTAAGAATTATCTCAACATACTTAAAATACTATTCAGTTTTAATACATTTTATATATTTTACTATCATGGTTATGTGGTACTATATAAAACAAATACATACACTATTATTTCATTAAAATATTCATAAAGAAAAATTGCACATAACTTCTAATTTTTCCGATCTCATATAAAAAGTAAAAAAAATAAAATCCATACACTTAATTCATAAAATGGTAAAAACATAACCTTATTTTCTTGTGAAAAAGTAATTCATATCTTTACAATAAAGAAAATCTCATAAATTTTTCTCATATTATGTGTATACTTTTAAAACATATTAATTATACTCCTTTTGAAATATTAGTATGTGTATACTTTCAAATTATACTCTTTTCAAAATTTTAATAATTTTTACATATATATTTATACTCCGTGTCGGAAACATGACCGTTCAAAGTAGGATTTGAACTGTTTTACTTGTAAAGGTGCAGCCATAATAATTGCACCGTAATAATCTTTGAGCATGGGTTCACGCACATATATTTAAGTAATTTTGAAGAATAACATCGTTATACATGATTTATGGAAGAAGTATGGATTCACGTTAACCCACATATCTCAACTTGAATACTCCTCTGTTTGTACTACTTATTACTAACTTTAAAAAAAACTTAACATAATCTCGTTTGAAGCACTACATAATCAAATATTTATTTTCAGCTTTTTAACCATTTAAGGTCATTGAGTTATATATATATGTAATATGATGTTAGTCTAGTCTAACCTTTTTGACCATTTAACATTCTCTTCAATACTCATCAATATGATATGTAAGTGAAACAATCCTATAACTCTACGTCCTGTTAAATAAAATAAATAAAATGAGGCATGAAACATTTATCTAAATAAATTTGAACGTCCTTAATAATATAATATTATATTAATTAAAACGGATAAAATACGAACTATACAAAAAAAAAAGAAGTTTACTCTCCGTTCTATAGAACATATCGTGTTACTTTGTTTCTCTAAAATCATATTTTTCAAGCCATTTTTTTTTCTTTTACAAAAAATATTCTACTCAATATACCATATAAAATATATATATAATAGTGTCAAGGTTGTTAAACTTATGGGGTGTAACAGTTCATTTGAGGGTTCATATGGTCGAGAAGGCAGCCTAGCAGACAAAGCACGACATGCGAATTCATTATCTTCATCTATTCATCACTTCAGGTGTGTCCTTATGCACGTTCGAGGACGGACGTTTATTTTAAGAGATGGAGAATGAAACGAACCGACCGGTTATTTTGTGTAATTGCACCCCGTTTCACCTTGTGATACTTCACACATGTGTGTTTATGGTTTTATGACCTACGAGTTTGATTAGTTTCTTTCCGGGAAGATTTCGGGTTGATTTAGACCCTTTGATTCTTGACTTAGAAGCTTAAGTTAGATATGTTGACCAAACTTTGACTTTTGTGAAAATCACCCCGGAATGGTATTTTGATGGCCCCGATAGTTTCGTATCGTGATGTTTGACTTGGGCATATTCCCCGAATTAAATTTCGGAAGACCGTAGGTTGATTTGTTTTATTTTGTCGAAATTTGGCAATTTGAAGTTGAAAGTTTGACCGTAGGTTGACTTTTAGCTATTGAGCTCGGAATTTGAGTTCTGCGACATAGAATTAGAACTTATCTGCAAAATTTTGGTATCATTTGGAGTTGAATTGATAGTATTCAGACTCTTAGTTGCAATTCTAGTAGTTCTTGAACTTTATTTTGAAATTCATGCGTTTTAGTGTTTGATTCATAGTTTTTGATGTTATTTTTGTGTTTTGATTGTGTGAGCGAGTTCATATGATTTTATTAGACTTATGTGGATGTTTGGTTTGGAGCCCTGATGGCTCGGATGAGTTTCAGGCATATTTTGGAATGTTTTGGACTGAAAAACAGGACCTGGTGTGTTGATGCCTCTGGTGTCGCATTTGCGAACACCATGATCGCAATTGGGAGCTTAGTAGGGGGACTCAGGTATCGCAAATGTGATACCTTGCTCGCAATTGCTAAGTAGATCAGGTAGAGGGATAGTTCGCAATTGCTACAAAATAGAGTCATAAAGCTTACAAAAGTGCAAGACTATATCTTCCCAAGCTTCCAAATTATTGGCGTATTCAATGCCTTCAATGTAGTCCCTTTTTCAGACTTAATACCCCACAAAGATTCTCGTAAATCTATTTATAGTGGACTGAAAGTCGGAGTCAAGATTGGACAAAAATGACCTTGGAGAGCTCTTATGCGACCGCATAATGGTCGCAAACCATGTATGCGGTCCCCATAGTTGACAATTGAGTCGTAGAACTTCAGATCTGCAAGCCTAGATTCCACCGCATTTTCATTATGCGGTCTGCATATCAGTTATGTGGCCGCATTTTCCATCGCAGATGTGCTACCCAAGTTCTTCAATTTTCAGTTATGCGATCATTATGCGGCTCGCAGAAGTGCTATGCGACTGCATAATAGATCGCACAATCTTCTCTTCAGTTGGTCAAAACTGCTGTTTCAGTTTGCGGTGGTTATGCGATCTGCATATTACTTCTGCGGTCACATACTTGCTACATTCCTACTCTTCTATGGATTTTTTGACTTTTTTCCATGTGTTTGGGTCTTCAAGTCTTATGCACTAAAAAACACCAAAACTTTATAAGATTTAACTACAAATGCATTGAAATACGAACTAAAGTCTATGTAATTGGTATCAAATGTGCCGAAATTCTACGGCACATCAGTCGGCCAACATCATAGGTCGTAGAAGAGATCGATCTACAAGATCAAATCGTACCTGTAGTCCGGGTTGTAAGCAAATTCAACATGCCATGTGAGACCACTAAAGGGGAAATAACATTACCGGTGAATACCTCTAGGACCATTCAGGAAGCCAAGTTCTATGTAATCGAAGGAGGTATAAGGTACAATGCTCTATTAGGGAGGCCATGCACCCACAACATGAGGGCAGTACCCTCAACTCTGCACCAAGTGTTAAAATTCCGAATGCTAGGAAGGATTAAAAAAATCTACTAAGAACAACCAGCCACAAACAAAATGTTCGCGGTCGAAAAGGTGATCCTGATATCCGCACTTACAATGACAAAATGTCCGGGTTCGGTCGCTAAGGGAGAAGCCAAATAGAAATTACCAACACCAACCCCGACCCAATCGGAGAAGTAGGGGACTGATGTAGATGATGATTACGGGTTTCCCAGGTCCTTTATAGAACACGATGACTCCGACGACACCAAATCAATGGTCGAAGAACTGGAACATGTCAAATTGATCGAGAATTTGACCGATCGAAAGGTTACCTGGGCACAGGGTTATGTTCCGAGCTCAAGAAAAAAACTTATTAAATTCCTCATAGATAACGTAGGTTGTTTTTCTTGGTCCCACCTTGATATGACAGGGATCCCCCCCCAAAAAAATAACAATTCACAAGCTGAGCCTGGACCCGAAGTTCCGTCTGGCCAAAAAGAATCGGAGACCTCAGTCTTAAGTCAAGCATGTATTCATTAAAACTGAGGCATCTAAACTCCTTAAAATAGGGTCGATTTGGAAGGTTAAATACCTAGATTGGTTAAAAAATGTTGTGGTAGTCCCTAAAAAGAGAATAAATTAAGAATTTGTGTAGACTATACAGATTTGAATAAGGCATGCACCAAGGACTCTTTTCTTTTGCCAAACATCAATCACATGATCGATGCAACGGCCAACCACGAGATTCTTGGTTTTCTCGACGCCGATTCTAGGTACAACAAAATTCGGATGGACCCGAGCGATCAGGAAAAAACGTCCTTCAGGAAAAAACGTCTTTCAGTTATAAGGTAATGCCATTTGGACTAAAAAATGTCGGTGTCACTTACCAACGCCTAGTAAATCGGATATTCGAAGACAAAATAGGAAAATCAATGGAGGTTTGTATTAATGACATGTTAGTTTGTCCCTTCGAGCAAAGGACCATTTAAAACATTTGCAGGAAACCTTCAACATATTGAAGAAGTGCAATATGAAGCTGAACCTGGAGAAATGCGCGTTCGGAGTTGGGTACGAGAAATTTCTCAGATTCATGGTGTCCAACCGAGGGATCGAGATTAACCTAGATAAGATAAAGGCCATTGAAGTCATCACTGTTGTGGACAACGTCAAAGCCGTTCAAAGGTTATCCGGTTGCATAGCCGCCTTGGGTCGATTCATCTCGAGCTCATCCGACAAGAGCCATCGGTTCTTTTAACTATTGAAGAAAAAGAATAATTTCTCGTGGACCCCGAAGTGCCAATAAGCCTTTGAGGAACTCAAGCGATATCTCTCGAGCCCACTATTGCTTCATACTTCAAAGATAAATGAACAACTATGCCTGTACTTAGCAGTATCTGAAGTAGCGGTAAGTGGAGTCCTGGTTCGGGAAGAGGATGGTATGCAATTTCAAATCTATTATATTACCAGGAGTTTAGGTGAGGCCGAAACAAGGTATCCTCACCTAGAAAAATTGGTGCTTGCTTTGCTAAGCGCCTCTAGAAAGTTGAAACCGTACTTTTAATGCCACCCATATGTGTTTTGACTACTTGCCCATTGATAAACATAATGCATAAACCCGAACTCTCCAGGCAATTGGCCAAATGGGCCATGGAGATCAGCGGATATGATATCGAGTATCAACCCTAGACCACTAATATGTCTAAAATTTTAGCATACTTCATGGCTGACTTTACGCCGGCCTTGATACTCGAGGTTGAAAGAGAGTTGTTATTGAACTCGGGGAGTTCTTCGAGAATGTGGACCCTCTTTATAGACAGTGCCTCGAAC